GAGGGAAGGGTGTAATGTGGACTGTGTGTGTCATTTTACATTTTCTGGTAGCCCCATGAAAAAGGAGTAGGTGAAATCCATTTCAGGAATACATTTTATTTCACCAAAATATCGTTTCCACATTTTGTAAAAGTTTGCAAAATCACTATCACACTAATAATGTTACAATATTATTATTGTTTGTAATTCATTACCATTACCATTGTTTAGTCTGTGGGCTTCTGAGCTCATAGACTAAGACAAGCTGAGCCTGGGACAGTTCCCGTGGTTAGGGGTAAGCCCTGAGACCCTGGGAGGGGAAGGAACTTGGAGTTGAGCTTGGACCTGGACTTGGACCCTGTCCACCCTACGCACCCCCCTACCCCTGACACTCAGGTTCTATTTCCCCTGGGCAGGGATCTGCGTGGCTGACCCCTATGAGGTGACAGTGATGCAAGATTTCTTCATCGACCTGCGGCTGCCCTACTCCGTGGTGCGTAACGAGCAGGTGGAGATCCGAGCCGTTCTCTACAACTACCGAGAAGCAAATACGCTCAAGGTGGGCCCTTGGAGCAGCGGAGGCCGAGGGAGGTGTGGACAGGGGCCGCCGCACAAGTCCCTCACCTGGTGCTCTCCCCCGGCAGGTGAGGGTAGAAATGCTCTACAACCCAGCCTTCTGCAGCGTGGCCACTGCCAAGAAGCGTCACCAGCAGGTTCTGTCAATCCCTCCCAAGTCCTCGGTGGCCGTGCCTTATGTCATTGTGCCCCTGAAGATCGGCCTGCAGGAGGTAGAGGTCAAGGCCACCGTCTATGAGTTCTTCATCAGCGATGGTGTAAGGAAGACCCTGAAGGTCGTGGTAAGTCCTCAGGGTACCTGCCGCTTCTTGTCCTTTAAGAAAGGCCCCTGCACTCCTTGTGCTTTCAACTCAGTTTCCAGGCCCCGGCTCTGAGACACTAATACTGTCCAACGTCCGGCTTAGGAAAGTTAGGTCCTAGAAGTTTGAGAGCAGGGCCACAATTAGGGTGAGGCAAGCGAGACATTCTTCTTGGGCATGAAATTTTAACGGGGTGCCAAAAACCTCAGCAATAGAGATAAACAAACATTTTTCATTAAAATACGTTTTAATATCAAATATGATATTTTGTAAGACATTTCAGTACAGGAGTTTTGTTTTGACTTTTAAAATTTGGGGGAAACATATTTCACAGACCAAATTTTATAATGTAATAATATATAATGTGAGAGTATAGGAAAGTTATATTTTTAGCCTTAAAATATACATTAACAGTTATAATTCTACTCTGAGTACTCCACCATGTGGAACACTTTCAAATATAATAAGCGATAGAATCATCAGTAAAAGGCTTTTGTCATCTTTTTTAATATTTTAAAGCAAAACAAGACCATAAACAAGATCACCAATATTTTAATGCACTAGTTTAAGATATAAAAATTATGCCAAAAATATCCATGATGAGCAAAATATCAAAATTTTAAACAGAGATAGAATCTGACTGACTAGTCAAGCCATATTGGAATCTGAAGTAAAAAGAAAAGTGAGTGACCCCACAGACATGCCTGTAAGGGATTTTTTTTGTGGTTAATTTTTCCCAAAATTGTTAAAGTAGTTGAAAAAAACTTTGACTCATTGAAAAGCAAATGTGTTAAAACTGAAAGTGAGATTTTATGTTGAAATGTTTTATTCATACCCAAACTGGAATTTGTTATAATTTTTCTTTCCTGGTTTTAAGGGAAGCAAACTCATACTTTTTCAATTACTTCAATGTTCTGGAATAATATTACCATTAGAAAATACATTAAAGTATATATTTAAGGGCACATATTTTTTTCTTTTTCCTTGGGCCCCAATATGGCCCAACGTACGCACTGGTGGGAAAGAAAACCCAGCAGTGTCAGAACCTTGTGGCCAGCTCTTCCCAATTCTGTCTTCACGGACACTGGTAGCTTGAAATCCATCACAGTGGGGATATTTACACCAAGGAAATTGGCAGCACTGCAAATCAGGATTTTTTTCTTCCTGGAGAGCTGGATGTTAAATATTTACCAACATACCTTGGGAAGAAATTCAGTCTGCAAAGGAAAATCTGAGCTTTATTACCAAGTGAAAGGAGAATGGGTTCTGGGAAGGCCGAAACATTCACTATCCACAATAAAGGTTTATCTGAAGACACATGAAAACTTGAGTTGTGTCTTTCATACTAATTAAGCTAGCCCCTAACACTCTGCTAAGTACTTATGCACAGTCTTTTATTGTATTTTTTAAAAATTTTTATTTATTTTAATCATTTGTTTTAAAAATTAATTTTAGCCCTGGTCAGTGTGGCTCAGTAGAGTATTGCCCCATGCACCAAAGGGCTGCAGGTTTGATTCCCGGTCAGGGCACAAACCCCGGGTGCGGTTTGATACCTGTTTGGGGCCCATACAGGAGGCAACCAATTAACGGTTCTGTCTCAAATCAGTGTTTCTCTCTCCCTCTCTCTTCTCTTCCTTCTTCTCTAAAAATCAATAAAAACATATCCTTGGATGAGGCTTTAATATAATTAATTAAATTTAAAAATGTAATATTTATGTATTTTTCTATTTATTTTATTTATTATTTTAAATTAATTATTGTATTTCATTTTTAAATTTAATTTTACTTTTTACATTTTATTTTATTTGTATTTTATATAACCCATTGAGAGGCACTGGGTTGAAAACCCAGCCAACTGAGCCACACCGGCCAGGGCCAGTTTCCCCATCTTTAAAATGGGAGTGATAATTTCGGTACCTATTGCAAAGATTAAATGACTCAACCTGAATAAAGAAAGCTTCTAGGCACATAGGAAGATTTCTAAAAGCTTTGTTATTTTATTATTATTAATTTATAATTTTGTTATTAAATCACACAACAGTGTGAGGTAGGTGTTTGTATTGCCTCCTCCTTATAAGGAAGCTGAGGCACAGAGAGGTTAAGTAACTTACTCCCAGTCACACAGCTAAGACCTGCTACAGTAATCACCAGCGCAGTGCCCTGCTGACCAGCTGTTGCTCTCTGTATGTCCTGTCATTCACCCGACTCCCCCTTCCCTCCTCACTGTCCAGCCAGAAGGAATCAGAATGAACAAAACTGTGACCGTTCGCACGCTGGATCCACAAAAGCTGGGCCAGAGTGAGTCAGCCGCAGGAGAGGGTGTGAGGCCTGGGTGGTGAAAGGAGGCTGGTACCAAGGGTGTCTTCCATTCAACCGACAGACGGTGTGCAGCGTGAGGAAATCGAGGCTGCAGACCTCAGCGACCAAGTCCCAGACACAGAGTCGGAAACCAGGATCCTCCTGCAGGGTGAGATACTCTTGGCCTAACCCCATGGGGCCCAGGAAGGTATGGGAGCCAAGGAGGGAGCCCAGTTCCATCTATTTCTGGGAATATTTAACCAAAGCACCTCTCTCCTTCACTTCAGCTAGAACAGCCTCTTCTGGATCTGTTCACAGAAGCCTCCAGGCAGTATTTAGTTCAGCAAATAGCTTCTGCTGATGAAGAAATTTAAGTGAGAAGCAAGAGAGTTCAAGAACAGAAATTCTGGAACTTCTTGCTGAGAATAGAGGATTGGGGTGAGAAGCACAGGAAGGAGCTAGAAAAGCGCCTTGCAACCTGTGAGCTGTTAGGTTTTGAGTAGAGACTCTTGCTTTCCTCATCTGTGATGAAGGCAAATAGCAGTATCTATATCTAAGGGTTGTTGGGAAAATTAAATGAGATACTATATAGTGTTCTCTTAGAAGAGAGCTTGGCAAATAGCATTAAGCACTATAGAATTGTTCATGACAACTGTTCCTGGATTTATTTTACCACTGGTAGAACATGAGGACCCAGGGGCAACCCCCCCTTCAGTCACATGCCTCCAGCCCCCAGCTGACCCTGACTCTTTGGCCCCGGCTGGTTGGAGCCTGGGAAAGCCAGGGACAGCCCCTCCCCTCCTCACCTCATAGTGGGTCTCTTTGCTTGAACACCATTCTTCCTTCTGGCGGCAGGGACCCCGGTGGCCCAGATGGCAGAGGATGCCATCGATGGGCAGCGGCTACAGCACCTCATTGTGACCCCCTCGGGCTGCGGAGAGCAGAACATGATCGGAGTGACGCCCACTGTCATCGCGGTGCACTACCTGGACTACACTGAACAGTGGGACAAGTTTGGCTTTAACAGGCGGCAGGAGGCCCTGGACCTCATCAAGAAGGGTATGTCCCCTTCTCTTGGAAACCTCCTCTGAGGCCCCTCTCTGAGCTCTCTCCTCCTCTGAGACTCCACCCCCTCTTGAGGCCCCTCCCCTCCTCTGAGACCTCCTGTACTCCCCTCTGAGCTCCCTCCCCCTTGAGAACCCTTCCCTCTCTGAACCACCTCTCCTCTGAGAACTCCTTACTCCTCACTCTGATCCCTGCACCCTTTTGGAGCCCCATCCCCCCTTTAAGCTCCCCTCCAGACATCCCTCTTGGTCCTGAGTCCCCTCTTTCCTCTCTGAACCCCTGTCCCACCCTTCATAGAATCCTTGTCCCCTCTCTAAGCCTCTCTCCTCCCTGGCATACCCACACCAGCCACTGCCTCCCCTCAGCCCCCTACTCCTCTGGTGACACTTCTCTCTTCCCTGCAGGGTACACGCAGCAGCTGGCCTTCAGACAGAACAACAAGGCCTTTGCGGCCTTCCTTCACCTGCCATCCAGCACCTGGTGAGCCTGCACCCCCTGAGCAGGACCTGGGTTCTAGCCTGGGGTGGTCTAGGCTGGCATGCCCCTCCTCACAGCCCTGTGCCACTGAACCCCTCCACCTTCAGAGTCAAGGCGCCCACTAACTGAGTGACCTTCTGTCACTAAGCACTGACTGCAAGCAACATTGGGTCCTATGTCCTAGCACGGGAAACTGGGCACACCTGAGCAGGCCCTGCCCCTCTCTGCCCATTGTTTGGCTGGGATGATAGTCTCTGGATCCCAAAGCCAATTGGCCCATGCTCTGTGCCCACCCCCAGGCTGACAGCCTATGTGGTCAAGGTCTTCTCTCTGGCTGCCAACCTCATCGCCATTGACTCCGAAGTCCTCTGTGGGGCTGTCAAGTGGCTGATCCTGGAGAAGCAGAAGCCTGATGGAGTCTTCCAGGAGGATGGGCCCGTGATACACCAAGAAATGATTGTAAGAGGCAGGGATTCAGGCAGGCTGGGGGAGAGGAGCGCCTGAGTGTCACAGCATGGGCAGTACAGAGACCCCGCCTGCGATTTGCCCAGTTCCCTGTGTAGGGGTGAGGGGTGGACAGAGAAATAAAGGAGCCAAGAGTGTCACATCTCCTTTGTGAAAACCAGAGATCTCAGGGTCCAATGCAAAATGAAAGTTCCCTGGCTCCCCATTGCTTTGAAAAAAACCTGAGAACTCCCCAGGCCAACAGCGTCAGCATCAGCTGGAAGCTTGTTAGAAATGCACATTCTCAGACTGGACCGCAGATGCACCGCATCAGAAACTTTAGGGGTGGGGCCTAGGAATTGGAGTTTTAATATGCCCCCCACTCCAGGTGATGCTGATGTGCGCTCATGTTGGAGAACCACTGCTTCAGCCTGACTTTACGGGCTTCCAGCCTCACAACCTTCCCCCCTCTCCACACTCCATCTGTATTGCTTGGAGCCTTGCTCTGTCCAGGCACAGGACCTTTGCACATGCTGTTCCCACTGCCTGGCATGCTACCCCTACCCTCTTTGAGAACTGAGTCCTACTCACCCTTCAGATTGTGGCCCCTCCTGTCATCCCTTAGGGATATCTTTCCCAAGCTCCCTGAGTCGCACTCCCACTATCCATTCTCGCTGCCACATCCACTTCTGCACAGCACTCATCAGTCTGTAATGATGTATCTATTGATGAGCTGGTTGTTTCATGTCTGTCTCCCCTACGAGATGGGGAGCTCCATGAGGGCTGGGGCCAGTGTCTGGTTTTTGGCCACCAGCTTGCCCACAACACAAGTGAATACTAGAGTATGGTCCTCCTGTGAGACACTGGGGAGAGACCCAGCCCTGCCCTGCCCTGCTGATCCTACAGGGAGGTTGGATGGCATGTGGGAACACGCTGGTGACCCCATCCTTTCTTCCTGTTCCACACCCTAGGGTGGCTTCAGGCATGCTGAGGAGAAAGATGTAGCCCTCACTGCCTTCGTTCTCATCGCACTGCAGGAGGCTAAAGATATTTGCGAGGGACAGGTCAACGTAAGTGTGCTCTATCATCCCCCCTCCCCTCTCCTTCCCAGGCACAGTCACCTTGGAGGTTCTATAATCGCTGCATCTGCTTTGTCTTGGGGATTTGAGAGTGGGTTGTTTGACCTTTAGCTGTCCAAGTGGGGAACTCCAGGATCCCAGCTTCACCAGCTGCTTCTCCCTCCTCAGGACCCCAGAAAAGAGATGAAGGAAAGAAGGATGTTACCTTTAATGGCCAAGAGGAACCCAGGCCTTTCTGGTTCAAACTTTGCAGATTTTAAATAAATTATGGTAGAAAAGAGACAGCTCTAGGGCTGTGGGATCAGATAGATATGAATTTAGATCATAACTCTCAGACACTTCCCCTTACTGGGTCTCAGTGTGTACATCTGTAAAATGGGTATAATAATCTTTGTATTTTTTTAGGACTCTCTGAGTTGTTCTAGGTGTAACACACGTATGACCTACATTATGCAGAAAAACAGGGTGTGGCAAAAATAGGTTTACTGTTGTGAGGACACGCAACACAGAGTTTATTCTTGTGTTACTATTTATTAATTATTGTATTACTTCCCATGCGAACAAGTAAAATCCTACTTTTGTCCCACCTTGTAGATGGGAGTTATTTTAAGAATCTAAGAATTTATCAAGTGCAAAGATGAAAGTGGCCTTGGGAACTCTACCAAGATGCTTTGTTCCTCTTTCCTGTGTTCTTCATTCCCGTCTTGCCCAATAATTTGGCTTTCCTGCCACCCAGCCTGCCTGGCAGAACATAGCTGCCTTCCTTGGGGAAATAGCCTGACCAAGGCTAGAGCTTCCAGATTCTCAGGGAAGGATTCTGATTGGCTCAGCCTGGATCAGCTGATCACTTCTGGACCAATCAGCTGAGTCCAGGAAGTAGGTCTTCCTGGGCAAATATGACTGTTTCCACTGTGGCCATGTGAATGAAAGAAAGGAGAAGTTCCTACAAAAATCAAGGGTGGATATAGGAGAGATAGAGGGCAGGCAAAAGGATTAGTTTCTATATAGTGACATTTTCTACTAAAACACAGCAACCTTATAATGGAGTATAGCATAGGCTGTGGAACCAGACTGCTGGGGTTCAATTAAAGAGCTTGCTGGAATTAGCTTGAAAAAAACCAATGGTTAATATTCCAGGAATATTGCTGAACACAATCATTATTAAATATTAATTATATAAACTTACATTTAAATAATTCAGGCTAAACAGTACACATAAAAATAAAGGTAGTAGCCCTGGCCAGGTAGCTCACTTAGTTGGAGCGTTACCTCATATGCCAAGGTTTGGGGTTTGATCTCCAGTCAGGGCACGTATGAGAAGCAACCAATGACTGCATAGATGGCTGGAACAACAAATCAGTCTCTCTCTCTCTCTCTCTCTCCCCCTCCCTAAAATTCAATAAAGAAAAAAACAACAACAAAGGTAGTAAACACTCAAAACTCATCATTTCTTAATTATTTTACTACCTTTTATCATTATCCATGCTCTTGAGGTTATTTATGTCTGTTGTACCTATATGTTGGACATACTATATAATCTCTTCCCAATTCTACAGTCAGTGGCTCCATGTTGGTAGGTTGAAATTGGCCATGGTAGTATTTACACTATGGAAAACAGGAAACACTACAAATCATGCCTGCCTCCACACCTCATCTCCCTGGGTCTCAGTATTCTCATCTATGCAATAGGGATGACGATGAAAATAAAACCCACCTCATAGGATTTTGAGGTTAAATGAGTAGCTATGTGACTGGAACATAGTAAGCATTAGCTACAATGATGTTGATAATTAGATAATAAGTGGACCCAGTGGTATGCTAACCCTGGCTCATTCTAGCTCATGACTGCCTATCTAGGGCAACTCTTTCCCACTGCATGTTAAGGTACGTCACACGGTACCATATGTCACATGGCTTGAAATTGGCCATGGTGGGAGTCTTTACACCACAGTAATTGGCAATCAGTAAAGCAGCCCCCCACCCCTCTGAACTGACTAGACAGCTGATTATTAAACATTCACTGGCAAACCACTGGGTATACAGACTGCACCAGGAACATGATAGGTACTCAACAACAAAGCTGTTCATGGGGGCTAAAATATCTGAGAAGCCCTCAAATATAGACAGATCCAAGACAGATATGTCCCGAGGTCAGAAACCTTGTGCCCAGGAAGTGGTGATTATGTGATCCTTGCCAGCTCTCTGTAGCAGCAGTGCCCACCTGACCAGAGGATGCAATCTTCTTTCTCACAGAGCCTTCAGGGCAGCATCAATAAGGCCGGAGACTTCCTTGAATCCCACTACGAGAACTTGAAGAGACCATATACTGTGGCCATTGCTGGCTATGCCCTGGCCCAGTTGGGCAAGCTGGAGGGTCCCCTCCTCCACAAATTTCTGAGCACAGCCACAGGTGAGAAGCAGCCTGGCACGGTAAGGGGAGATGCATGGCTGGGGTTTGAGGGTGGCCATCTTAAGCTGGGCTGCATGGCTCCAAGCTGAGCTGGGATGAGTGGCTTTAGGTTTGAAAGGTCCTTGTTGTAAGTGACACAAGAAGGTCCATTGCATCATTCAATAAGTATTTGTTGAGTACTTGGTAGGACACAGGAGCAACAACATGTGCTCTGACATCAGACAGATTCAAGTTCAAATTCAAATCCCACTCTGCCACATTCTCACTGTTTGACCTTGTACAATTCACTTAATCTCTCTGGACCTTGTGTATAAAATAACTACATCATAGGATGGTTGTGAAGATTAAATGAGTGATGCAGGTAGAAGAAGGTCTAGCGTATAGTAAGAGATCTATCACTGATGTTATTGCCTTTAGTATTGTTAATAACATTATCATTATTTCAAGGGTAATTAGGATAGATAAGATAATGACGGAGGGGTTTCAGCACAATGAGTAACACATAGTAAGCACTTAATCGATGGTTCCAGTGATGACACCTTATCAGGTTTATGCTCACTTCTGTAACATATCTGAATGTATACTGAAGTGGTTTAACACAGAGAAGGTGGTTTCTTGCTGTGTAACAGCACAGTGTGGGTGTCCCAAGTTGGTGGACAGCTCACCTCTATACAGTAATACAGGGATCTGGGCTCTATATTCTCATGGCTCTGCCACCCCAGGGCCTTGGAATTCATTCTATCCAAGCAGAAGAGGAAACCATCAGGAAGACTGTGCAAGGGAGACAGACCAGGCATGGAGGGGGCCCATCAATTGCCCTGCACATTCCATTGGCCAGAGCGCAGTCATGTGGCCATACCTACCTGCAAAGGCATCTGGGAGATATAGTCCAGCTCTGCCCAGGAGGGGGAGGGAATGGTTCTTGGTGACAGTCTCTGCCAGAAATGCTTGCTTAGGTACTAAGAACATCACAGTGAATATGGCACAGCCCCTGCCATCATGGCCTCATGCTCCAATTGAGGAAAGAAATGTTAATAGATTTCTGTAAAGCATCATAATACTAGGGTGGGAGAAGCACAGGATGCTTTGAGAAACAGAAGGAAGGGTCTCACTCTGTCTTGAGGTGCCATTGAAGCCAAGTTGTGCAGGGTGGGTAAGACTTAACCAGGGATAGGTGGGGGGAAAGGTGCTCCAAATAGAGAGAACAGAATATGCAAAGGCTCAGAGGTAAGAATGAGCATGGCAAGTTTAGGGAATCTCCTCCCATAGATCAGTGGAGCTGCAGTTCAGAATTCAAATGAAAGAGTAAAGGTTGATGAGGGAAGAGAGTGAGGCAAGAAGCAGCAGATTGAGAGCCACAAACATGGACCAGGACACCTGAATACCAAGAGGTCTAGTATGAGTCTGTTTCCTGAACTTTCTCTGAGCTATCTCCAGGCTGGACAAAGCAGTGAGCATGGGGGCTGGTGTTCTTTCTTGTAGAAAAGAACCGCTGGGAGGAGCCTGGCCAGAAGCTCTACAATGTGGAGGCCACGTCCTATGCCCTGTTGGCTCTGCTGCTGCTCAAAGACTTTGACTCTGTGCCTCCTGTTGTGCGCTGGCTCAACGAGCAGAGATACTACGGAGGTGGCTATGGCTCCACCCAGGCAAGTGGTTCCACATCCCCCGGATAAGATGCTGAGACCAAGGGAGGCAATTGATTGGAATGAAGTTGAGAACTCAGGATTTTTTTTATTTTGTTTTAGTTGCAAATCTGTCTATGGATTCTAGACTAAATTCTGGATGCCCCAAGCTGTGTTTTGAGCCTCCCTTTCCCTCCTGGTGTACAGATCATGTTCTCAGGGCCCAGGTTCAGGTGTGAGAGTCTCTCTGATGGGTTCTGGACCATGTTCCTAGTTCCACCAGGCTCCCCATCTTATCCTGTCTCACTGGTGGATTCTAGATCAATTCTCAATTGTTATAGGGAAACATTAAGTCCATCTCTCCCTCTGGCAGGTTCTAGACCATGTGCTCAGTTCCACTAAGCTCCCAGTGTTACCTTATCTTACTGTGGGTTCTAGACCATGTTCTCAGTTTTCTAGAGTATTAGAAAAAGCCTGCCTCTTTCCATGCTCGGTTCTAAACCATGGTTTCAGCAACCTCAAGTCTAGCAACCTCAGGCTTCAGTTTGATCCCCTTTCTCTCTGGTGGCATTCTCAGTGTCACTTTTAAAAAAAAAAATCCCTACCCAAGGATATGTTTATTAATTTTAAAGAGAGAGGAAGGAAGAGAGAAAGAGAAATAAAAAACATTGATGTGAGAGAGAAACATCAGGTGGTTGCCTCCTGTATGCGTCCTGACTGGGGATTGAGCCCACAGGCTAGGTATGGATTCTAGACTAAATTCTGGATGCCCCAACCAGGACTCAAACCCACAATCTTTTGTTGCATGGGAAAAGGCTCCACCTGAGGCACCCAGCCAGGGCTCAGGGTCACTTTTGGATTCTAGATTGTATGCTCAGTGTTCCCAGGCTCCAATTTCTTTTTTTTCCCCCACAAGTGGGTTCTAGATACATTCTCAGTGTCTCCAAACCCTTGTCTTAGACTCTCTTCTCTTGATGGTTCTAGACCACATTCTCAATGCTGCTAGACCTTCAGTCTTATGCCTACACTTTCTGGTATATTCTAGACATGTTCAGTGTCTCCAAGCTCTGGTGTAAGCCTCTATCCCTTGGAGAATTCTAGGAGATGTCCTCAGTGTCTAATGACTCCCAATCTTACCCTTATGCTCTCTGGTCGGTTCTAGGTCACAGTCTTAGTGTCACCAAGCCCTATCTGTGCCTCTCTCACTCACAGAGTTCTAGAACGTGTCCTCAGTACTCACCAACTCCCAGTCTTATTCTCACCCTCTCTGATGAGTTTTAGGCCATAGTCTCAGTGGCCCAGCTCTAAGCTGAGCCTCTTTGTCCCCCAGTGGGTTCTAACTGCTTTCTAGGTCCCACAGATCACCCTCTTTCTTTCTCATGGGTTCTAGGCCACTTTCATGGTGTTCCAAGCCTTGGCCCAATACCAGAGGGACGTTCCTGACCACAATGAACTGAATCTGGATGTGTCCATTGACCTGCCCAGCCGCAGCTCTACAGTCACACACCGCATCCTCTGGGAATCCGCTAGCCTCCTGCGATCAGAAGCGGTACAACTGCCCGACCAAACCATCCTTGCTGTCACCCTCCATGCCAGTCAAAGTCTGCAGGAGGCAAGAGGGAGGGCAGGTGGCCATCGCAGCCAGGGGAAGGCTTGGCTCCCAACCTTCTCTTCTCTCTCCCCACTCCCTGCAGACCAAGGAAAATGAGAATTTCTCATTAACAGCTAAAGGGAAAGGACAAGGCACCTTGTCGGTAAGGAACGGAACCCACACCTGCTTGGCTCCCCAACCTCTCTCAGCCCTCTACCCCAGAGGGACCCTCTCCTTCCCAAGTCAAGTAGGCTGACATCTCGTCTCTCCTCCCATCTCTTCAGGTGGTGACAATGTACCATGCCAAGATCAAAGACAGTGCCCCCTGCAAAAAGTTCAGCCTCAGGGTTAACATACGACCAGCCCCTGAAGGTAAAAGGGACCCAGACCCTAACTGTCGCCTTCCCTCCCTGCCATTCTGGTGTCTGCCCCTCTCCTGAATCAGGGCCCAGCCCACATCCTTCTGTCTTCTGTTTCTAGTCAAAAAGCCTCAGGACGCCAAGGATACCATGTTCCTCGACATCTGTACCAAGTAAGAGATGGGTCACTGGGGCTCGTCTCAATCATCCCTCTGTCTCTAGCAAGATTCCTTGTAAATAATGCCTGTGGAGTAAATTCTTTCCGGGAGCATATTGCCGGCTCGTGCTGCGCTGAGCACCCTGCAGGAGGCAGACAGCAGGCAGCCTCGCCGTGACCACAGGAGCTGAGACTGCCGAGCGATGTTAATTACCAGCAGGGGAGATTACAGTTGTTCCAGGAATTTTACTTTTTTTTTATCCCACCATCAAAAACTCTCCTGCTGCCACTTATAAAAGTATAGAGTAATGAAAAGCAAAGACGAGTGTTTGTTCAGTGCACTGTAATTTAAAACAGTGGAGCACCGAGATTAAAGCTGGCTTTGTTTCCTTTGTAAAGCACTTATCCAAAGCCCTGTCATTTGAACAGTGCCTCCTTCCTTCTCTGTGTCACCTGTGACATGGAGCAAGCAGCTTTTCTACGATGCCGTGAAGTGTCGCATTCCCTTCTAAGTTTGGCTCAGCTTCCAACACTTAATCCTTTCAGCTTTCCATGTCACTGGGTGCTTGAGAGTTCCTTTACTGTGAAGTTTTTTGCCAGTGTCACTTCCTCCGGGACATCATTTTTTTGTCACAAGCACTTTCTTCACTGCCATTGGTGCCCTTGCCTTCACTAAGTTCCTCCGGCGGCCTGATGGCCTGGCCGAGGGCAGCGGGTCCACGGAGCCACGATCCGCTTTCTCCTCTGGCTCCCCCTGCGTGCTGGTGCAATTCCGCTCCCGGCGTGACCGCTCTTCATTTCTGTGCGGCAGCTTCATCTTTGCTGGCCAATTACCTTTCCACGGTCCCTTTGGGGAAAATCTCATATGGGTGTTTTCCTGGGAGAGAAAGAAGCAACACAGTCACACAGGTGACCTGAATGACCGGTGCTCGGTGACCCATCAGCAACAGACTTTGAAAGAAATTACGTGATTGATCGCCACGCACATTTATTTACATAGTGACTGGTGGACTGAAGAGCTAGCAACTAGATCTGTCCTTTAGGCACTTCCTCGTGACTAACATACTGTGGTACTGGAATTAGAACCATGTTGCTGTGGGACTGGTGTTACTGAACTAGACCATGATAATGGGATCATGCAAAGCGAGTCCTGCCTGTACTCTTGTCTTCATTTTCTAGAAGAACTGAGGCGCAGAGAAGTCAAGTGACTCATCAAATGCCACATAGAGCTGGGATTTGAACCCATGTAGCTGGGCTTCAGAGGCCGAACAGTTAGTCACCTTGGCCTCACACGCCTTGCCTCTGCTCCCCTTGGGGGAGTGTTTCCTAAGATCTAACATCCTCTGTGCTGCTGTGTGGGAACCAGAAGCCTCTGTTCTTAATCAGACCCCCTTGTCCAAGCACTGACCCCTCGGGCTGACCCCACCTGGGACTCAACCCCTCTCTCCCTGCCCCAACCAGGTACCTAGGAGACCAGGATGCCACTATGTCCATCCTGGATATATCCATGATGACTGGCTTTGCTCCTGACATTGGCGACCTCAAGCAGGTGTGACAATCCTGGGCTTGGGCTGGGATCAGTGGGAAGGAGCCTGGAGTCTGGAAAAGGCTGAGGGAGGGAAGGAGATCCAGGAGGGGTTTTCACAAGCCTGTTCCTTCTCCAGCTGACCACTGGCACTGACAGATACATCTCTAAGTTCGAGTTGGACAACAAGGCCTTCTCCAACAAGAACACCCTCATCATCTACCTGAACAAGGTAGGGCTTCCCTTGGGATCTTCACCCATATGTGCCTGGCCTTCTCTCTTTTTGGTCTTTGCCTTAGAGTCCTCTGATTGAGCCATTCCTTCTAGAAGGAAAGAGGATTGATTGTGTATGAGATGGGTTTTTAAAAAATTTTGTATTTTAATTTCTGTACTTTTATTTTTTATTTACTTATTTTATTCTCACCTGAGGATATTTTTCATTGCTTTTCAGAGAAAATGGAAGGGAGGGAGGGAGGGGGAGAGAGAGAAACATTGATGTGAGAGAGACACATCAACTGGTTGCCTCCAGCATGCGCCCCAACTGGTTGTGGGTTGTACCCACAACCCAGGTACGTGCCCTTGACTGGGAATCAAACTTGTGATCCTTCAGTGCAGGGTCCAATGCTCTAACCACTGAGAACACCGGCCAGGGCTTGATTTTTGTACTTTTAATTTTTTATATAATTTCAACCTTACAGAGAAATTGTAGAACAGTATAAAAAATTTCCATATACCCTTGACCGAAATTCATTAATTGTTAACAGTTTTCTCCAAATATACATGTCGATCACACAGACATACATGTCTTCCTTCTTCCTTTTTTTCTTTCTTTCTCATTTATTTTTTTCCAGCTTTATTGAGATAAAATCGGCATGTAACATTGTATCAGTTTAAGGTATACAGTGTAAGGGTTTGATATATGTGCATGGAAAATGATGACCACAGTCAGGTTAGTTAGCATATCTACCATCTCACAGTTATAATATGTATGTGATAAATCTCAAAACTTTTAAGATTTACTCTCTTAGCCACTTTCAGATATAAGTGCAGTATTGATAACCATGGAGTGTTTTTATGGGCACAGATAGCAACCCGTTGGCCAGAATTCAGTTTCCTGGCCACACCAAAAGGAAAGGGAGGCTGAGAAGTGTAATCCAGCCATGAGCCTTGGAGAAAAAGACAATAGATTTGTGGAACTGCTCATGAATCTCTGCCACTTCCCCCTACCCAGAACCCTCCCC